ACCTGGATTCCCTCCCACTCGCACTATTTAAGGATGGAGGTGAGGTCCCCTGCAAAGCACTGACCTCGCTATTCGAATGTATCTGGAATGAAGTGAGTGTCCCGTCTGATTGGAGCGAACCGATTATAGTGGCAATATACAAGAAGGGCAGTCGCACAGTGTTAATGGGACGGAACCAGCCAATGAGAGCGTTTTACGCTGAGGGCTATTGATTTGGCCATAAATTGAATGTACCGTTAGTTGGACGTTAAGCAAAATATACTTGCCAGCCGTACGCCGGTCTCCTGCTTTGGGAAGTCGGGCTGATCAGAGTGCACGCTAGCAGCAGGTCATCGGTAGGTCAGCCGAAACCATAACATATTTTTTGGCGACGGAAGGTAGTGGATCAAGATGTCAATTTCAGCGGAAGACCTGAAAATCATTTTGTTGCAGCAACAGCAGCAATTTGAAACAGCACAGCTGCGTATGATTGAAACCCTCACCCAAATGTTATCTGTGCAGCCTACGGTCGTTCAGAACAATGGGAAGCGTTCGGCGGATGCGATGATCAGTAGTGTTAATGAGTTCATATTCGATCCTGACTCAGGATTAATATTCGATGCGTGGTTCAGGCGCTATGAAGATGTTTTCAGGGCAGAGTTGTCAGGTCTCGATGATGCATCTAAAGTTCGCCTTTTGTTACGAAAACTCGGAACGGTTGAACATGACAGATACATTATCTACATTTTGCCAAACAACGCGCATGATTTCAGCTTTGATGATACAGTTGCTCGACTCACAGCGTTGTTTGGAGACCAGTCGTCTCTTTTCAATAACCGATACAATTGTCTAAAGCTATGCAAAAAGGACAATGACAGTCTTATTGCTCACGCGGCGATAGTCAAACGTGAATGCCAGAAATTCAAACTGAAGTCGCTCACGGAAGACCAGTTCGAGTGTTTGATACTAGTATGCAGTCTACAGTCCCCAAAAGACGCCGAGATACGAACGAGAATACTTGGTATGTTGGAACGCGACACAGATGTTACATTACAAAACGCCATTGCTGAAGCCCAAAGAATCATGCATTTAAAGCACGATACGGCTATGGTGGAAGATTCGAGAGCACGTTCCGCAGATATATCTGTCCAGCAAATTTCAGGAAACAACCCACCGACCGCTCAACCTAGCAGATATCTACAATCCAAACCCCCATCACCTTGCTGGCAATGCGGAGGATGGCATTTTGTGAGATGGTGTCCTTTCAGCAAACATGTTTGTCAAAGGTGCTTTAGACGGGGGCAAAAGGAGACCCACTGCAGATTCAAAACATCATTTAGATCGTCATGTGATACTCGAAAAGCAGGTTACCGAAGGTTCGCGACAAGAGTAAACGCTAACTATACGGACGATGTTAAAGATAGAAGAAAGTTCGTCACTATTACCATCAACGGAAGAGTAGCGCGTCTGCAGATTGATACGGCTTCCGATATTACAGTCATTACGGAAAACTTATGGAAAGCTATCGGTTCACCTGACATTAAACCAACTAACCATAAAGCGAAGAGCGCATCAGGTACGAGTCTAAATTTGATCGGTCAGATTGAATGTGAGTGTCGCTTTGCCAACTTCACCGCTTGGGGAACTATTTTCGTCATAACACACAAGAATTTGAACCTCCTTGGATTAGACTGGATTGAGCGATTCAACCTCTTAGATGTTCCCATTAATCAAATCTGTGCAAGTGTACACTTACACAAACCAAAAGTCCCCAAGGCAATGGCAATCGAACAAATTCGAGAGAAATATGCACCTGTTTTCCGTGAAGGACTTGGTAAGTGTACAAAGTTGCAAGCCTCATTGTCCTTAAAACCCGATGCTGTTCCTGTTTTCCGTGCAAAGCGGCCAGTACCTTACGCAGCAGTCCCAATTGTTGACCAGGAACTTGATCGTTTGGAGAAACTTGGGGTTATCTATGCAGTGAACTACTCTTCTTGGGCGGCTCCAATTGTGGTTGTCAAGAAGCCGAACGGCCAGATCCGAATATGTGCCGACTTTTCTACTGGGCTGAATGAAGCGTTAAACACGCATCAGTATCCTCTGCCAGTCCCAGATGATTTGTTCTCGAAACTAAATGGGGGTCAGTGTTTTGCCAAGCTAGATCTATCGGATGCGTACTTACAAATAGAAGTTGATGAAGCTTCTAGAGAATTACTGACGATAAATACGCACCGAGGTTTGTATCAGTATCATCGACTTCCATTCGGAGTTAAGTCCGCGCCAGCAATTTTTCAGCAAATCATGGATACTATGCTAACAGATGTAGATGGTGCTACCGCATATTTGGACGATATCATTGTCGTCGGAACTAACCCAGATGACCTTTTCAGAAAGCTGCACTTAGTACTTGATCGCATACAAGAGTACGGATTTAGACTTCGCCCAGAAAAGTTCACGTTTTTCATGGACTCCATTAATTTTCTTGGCTTCATAATTGACAAGAACGGTAGACGTCCAGATCCGTCAAACATTGATGCTATAAAATAGATGCCACCTCCCAAAGATGTGCTTACTCTGAGGTCCTTCTTAGGACTCGTCAGTCATTACAGTCAATTTCTGCCACATATGCACAGCGTGCGTGGACCACTCAATGAGTTGCTCACCAAGGACAAACGTTGGCACTGGTCCGAAGATTGTCAGAAGTCCTTTGAGGAGGTGAAGCGAATGCTGTGTTCTGACCTTATGCTGACACATTACGACCCTACACTTGAAATCGTGGTGGCGGCAGACGCTTCGAAGTATGGCGTGGGTGCAGTTATCTCTCATAAGTTTGCTGACGGATCGGAAAAAGCGATCGCACACGCAGCTCGATCACTGTCGCCAACCGAAAAGAATTACGGGCAGATAGAGAAAGAGGCATTAGCGATAGTCTTTGCAATAAAGAAATTTCACAAAATGTTGTATGGCAGGAGGTTTACCCTGCTTACCGACCATAAACCACTCCTAGCCATATTTGGATCAAAGTCCGGTATACCCGTTTATACCGCGAACAGACTGCAGCGTTGGGCCACGGCCTTACTCGCCTATGATTTTGCGGTGAAGTACACGGCTACAAAGGACATAGGTCAAGCAGACGCACTTTCCCGGTTATTGGAGCTACAACAGCATCAGCAGGAAGAATCTATAATTGCAGCAATCTCCCTTGAATGAGAGGTCAACCAGGTCTTGATGGAGAATTTTAGGAAGCTTCCCGTGACGTTCGACATGGTACGTGACGCAACTGTGCGAGATCCCCTCTTGCGCCAGGTAATCAAATTTCACACTACGCAGTGGCCAAGTGATACTCTATCCGGAGAGCTACAAATTCTCTCTCGGAGAAAGGACGAACTTTCGATCGTAAATGGGTGTTTACTTTTGGCCGAGAGAATTGTCATACCCAAAGAACTTCGCCAAAGAGTCCTTCAGCAATTTCATCGGGCACATCCTGGAATTAACAGAATGAAAAGCATTGCTCGGAGTTTTGTCTACTGGCCAAACATTGATTCGGAACTCGAGCAACTAGTAAAGTCATGTCCCAGATGCGCGCTTGCTAGTAAGGCACCGAGAAAAGCTGACTTAGCTTCCTGGCCGTTGGCAACAAAACCGTGGGAACGCGTGCACGCTGATTTCTTTGGTCCCCTAAACGGTCAGCAGTACCTAATAGTTGTTGATTCCTATAGTAAATGGCCTGAGGTCTTCTGTATGGAGCGTGCGACAAGTGGTGCAACAATTAACATTTTGAGGAGACTTTTCAGTCAACACGGAATACCAGAAACCTTGGTCACTGACAATGGTTCTCAGTTCACTTCTTCCCAATTTGCCGAATACTGCGCACAGCATGGTATCACGCATCTACGGTCGCCACCGTTTCACCCTCAGTCAAATGGACAAGCAGAGCGCTTCGTCGACACGTTTAAGCGATCGCTACTAAAGATGCGGGGGGAAGGAACCACACAGGAGATACTTGATACATTTTTGCTCGTGTACAGATCAACTTCAAATCCCCAAGTACCAAACCAGTTGTCGCCGGCAGAAGCACTAATGGGAAGAAAACTCCGTACTGTGAATTCCCTGCTAACTCCGAGGTGTACTAATGAGCAAGAAAGGAACGTTCGGATGGAGCAGTACTACAACGAGCGACACGGAACTCAAGCACGCCGCTTTTACCCCGGACAACGTGTCTTAGTAAGAGACTATCGCGCGGGAAACCCGCAATGGGTGGTAGGATCGATACGGAGAAATATTGGACTGGTGCTATATGAGGTTAATGTGGGTAATTTGATTTGGACCAGGCATTCCAATCAGCTGCGACCAACTAGCATCCCTGCGGGCACAAGCGCTCGGTTACTACAGTTAGATATTCTATTAGAGAGTTTCGACATGCCATCTAATCCCCAAAGCAATTCGGATGCATCCCGCACAGAAGTCTCAGAGGAACCGAAGGTCCAGACCCGGCGCTGTACTGATCGACTACGGAGACCTGTCGTAAGAATGCAGTTGGATCCAAAAATGAAGTCTTATGTCAACTTTTGCGGGGGAAGGTGTTAATGGGACGGAACCAGCCAATGAGAGCGTTTTACGCTGAGGGCTATTGATTTGGCCATAAATTGAATGTACCGTTAGTTGGACGTTAAGCAAAATATACTTGCCAGCCGTACGCCGGTCTCCTGCTTTGGGAAGTCGGGCTGATCAGAGTGCACGCTAGCAGCAGGTCATCGGTAGGTCAGCCGAAACCATAACATATATTTTTGGCGACGGAAGGTAGTGGATCAAGATGTCAATTTCAGCGGAAGACCTGAAAATCATTTTGTTGCAGCAACAGCAGCAATTTGAAACAGCACAGCTGCGTATGATTGAAACCCTCACCCAAATGTTATCTGTGCAGCCTACGGTCGTTCAGAACAATGGGAAGCCTTCGGCGGATGCGATGATCAGTAGTGTTAATGAGTTCATATTCGATCCTGACTCAGGATTAATATTCGATGCGTGGTTCAGGCGCTATGAAGATGTTTTCAGGGCAGAGTTGTCAGGTCTCGATGATGCATCTAAAGTTCGCCTTTTGTTACGAAAACTCGGAACGGTTGAACATGACAGATACATTAACTACATTTTGCCAAACAACGCGCATGATTTCAGCTTTGATGATACAGTTGCTCGACTCACAGCGTTGTTTGGAGACCAGTCGTCTCTTTTCAATAACCGATACAATTGTCTAAAGCTATGCAAAAAGGACAATGACAGTCTTATTGCTCACGCGGCGATAGTCAAACGTGAATGCCAGAAATTCAAACTGAAGTCGCTCACGGAAGACCAGTTCGAGTGTTTGATACTAGTATGCAGTCTACAGTCCCCAAAAGACGCCGAGATACGAACGAGAATACTTGGTATGTTGGAACGCGACACAGATGTTACATTACAAAACGCCATTGCTGAAGCCCAAAGAATCATGAATTTAAAGCACGATACGGCTATGGTGGAAGATTCGAGAGCACATTCCGCAGATATATCTGTCCAGCAAATTTCAGGAAACAACCCACCGACCGCTCAACCTAGCAGATATCCACAATCCAAACCCCCATCACCTTGCTGGCAATGCGGAGGATGGCATTTTGTGAGATGGTGTCCTTTCAGCAAACATGTTTGTCAAAGGTGCTTTAGACGGGGGCACAAGGAGACCCACTGCAGATTCAAAACGTCATTTAGATCGTCATGTGATACTCGAAAAGCAGGTTACCGAAGGTTCGCGACAAGAGTAAACGCTAACTATACGGACGATGTTAAAGATAGAAGAAAGTTCGTCACTATTACCATCAACGGAAGAGTAGCGCGTCTGCAGATTGATACGGCTTCCGATATTACAGTCATTACGGAAAACTTATGGAAAGCTATCGGTTCACCTGACATTAAACCAACTAACCATAAAGCGAAGAGCGCATCAGGTACGAGTCTAAACTTGATCGGTCAGATTGAATGTGAGTGTCGCTTTGCCAACTTCACCGCTTGGGGAACTATTTTCGTCACAACACACAAGAATTTGAACCTCCTTGGATTAGACTGGATTGAGCGATTCAACCTCTTAGATGTTCCCATTAATCAAATCTGTGCAAGTGTACACTTACACAAACCAAAAGTCCCCAAGGCAATGGCAATCGAACAAATTCGAGAGAAATATGCACCTGTTTTCCGTGAAGGACTTGGTAAGTGTACAAAGTTGCAAGCCTCATTGTCCTTAAAACCCGATGCTGTTCCTGTTTTCCGTGCAAAGCGGCCAGTACCTTACGCAGCAGTCCCAATTGTTGACCAGGAACTTGATCGTTTGGAGAAACTTGGGGTTATCTATGCAGTGAACTACTCTTCTTGGGCGGCTCCAATTGTGGTTGTCAAGAAGCCGAACGGCCAGATCCGAATATGTGCCGACTTTTCTACTGGGCTGAATGAAGCGTTAAACACGCATCAGTATCCTCTGCCAGTCCCAGATGATTTGTTCTCGAAACTAAATGGGGGTCAGTGTTTTGCCAAGCTAGATCTATCGGATGCGTACTTACAAATAGAAGTTGATGAAGCTTCTAGAGAATTACTGACGATAAATACGCACCGAGGTTTGTATCAGTATCATCGACTTCCATTCGGAGTTAAGTCCGCGCCAGCAATTTTTCAGCAAATCATGGATACTATGCTAACAGATGTAGATGGTGCTGCCGCATATTTGGACGATATCATTGTCGTCGGAACTAACCCAGATGACCTTTTCAGAAAGCTGCACTTAGTACTTGATCGCATACAAGAGTACGGATTTAGACTTCGCCCAGAAAAGTGCACGTTTTTCATGGACTCCATTAATTTTCTTGGCTTCATAATTGACAAGAACGGTAGACGTCCAGATCCGTCAAACATTGATGCTATAAAAAAGATGCCACCTCCCAAAGATGTGCCTACTCTGAGGTCCTTCTTAGGACTCGTCAGTCATTACAGTCAATTTCTGCCACATATGCACAGCGTGCGTGGACCACTCAATGAGTTACTCACCAAGGACAAACGTTGGCACTGGTCCGAAGATTGTCAGAAGTCCTTTGAGGAGGTGAAGCGAATGCTGTGTTCTGACCTTATGCTGACACATTACGACCCTACACTTGAAATCGTGGTGGCGGCAGACGCTTCGAAGTATGGCGTGGGTGCAGTTATCTCTCATAAGTTTGCTGACGGATCGGAAAAAGCGATCGCACACGCAGCTCGATCACTGTCGCCAGCCGAAAAGAATTACGGGCAGATAGAGAAAGAGGCATTAGCGATAGTCTTTGCAATAAAGAAATTTCACAAAATGTTGTATGGCAGGAGGTTTACCCTGCTTACCGACCATAAACCACTCCTAGCCATATTTGGATCAAAGTCCGGTATACCCGTTTATACCGCGAACAGACTGCAGCGTTGGGCCACGGCCTTACTCGCCTATGATTTTGCGGTGAAGTACACGGCTACAAAGGACATAGGTCAAGCAGACGCACTTTCCCGGTTATTGGAGCTACAACAGCATCAGCAGGAAGAATCTATAATTGCAGCAATCTCCCTTGAATCAGAGGTCAACCAGGTCTTGATGGAGAATTTTAGGAAGCTTCCCGTGACGTTCGACATGGTACGTGACGCAACTGTGCGAGATCCCCTCTTGCGCCAGGTAATCAAATTTCACACTACGCAGTGGCCAAGTGATACTCTATCCGGAGAGCTACAAATTCTCTCTCGGAGAAAGGACGAACTTTCGATCGTAAATGGGTGTTTACTTTTGGCCGAGAGAATTGTCATACCCAAAGAACTTCGCCAAAGAGTCCTTCAGCAATTTCATCGGGCACATCCTGGAATTAACAGAATGAAAAGCATTGCTCGGAGTTTTGTCTACTGGCCAAACATTGATTCGGAACTCGAGCAACTAGTAAAGTCATGTCCCAGATGCGCGCTTGCTAGTAAGGCACCGAGAAAAGCTGACTTAGCTTCCTGGCCGTTGGCAACAAAACCGTGGGAACGCGTGCACGCTGATTTCTTTGGTCCCCTAAACGGTCAGCAGTACCTAATAGTTGTTGATTCCTATAGTAAATGGCCTGAGGTCTTCTGTATGGAGCGTGCGACAAGTGGTGCAACAATTAACATTTTGAGGAGACTTTTCAGTCAACACGGAATACCAGAAACCTTGGTCACTGACAATGGTTCTCAGTTCACTTCTTCCCAATTTGCCGAATACTGCGCACAGCATGGTATCACGCATCTACGGTCGCCACCGTTTCACCCTCAGTCAAATGGACAAGCAGAGCGCTTCGTCGACACGTTTAAGCGATCGCTACTAAAGATGCGGGGGGAAGGAACCACACAGGAGATACTTGATACATTTTTGCTCGTGTACAGATCAACTTCAAATCCCCAAGTACCAAACCAGTTGTCGCCGGCAGAAGCACTAATGGGAAGAAAACTCCGTACTGTGAATTCCCTGCTAACTCCGAGGTGTACTAATGAGCAAGAAAGGAACGTTCGGATGGAGCAGTACTACAACGAGCGACACAGAACTCAAGCACGCCGCTTTTACCCCGGACAGCGTGTCTTAGTAAGAGACTATCGCGCGGGAAACCCGCAATGGGTGGTAGGATCGATACGGAGAAATATTGGACAGGTGCTATATGAGGTTAATGTGGGTAATTTGATTTGGACCAGGCATTCCAATCAGCTGCGACCAACTAGCATCCCTGCGGGCACAAGCGCTCGGTTACTACCGTTAGATATTCTACTAGAGAGTTTCGACATGCCATCTAATCCCCAAAGCAATTCGGATGCATCCCGCACAGAAGTCTCAGAGGAACCGAAGGTCCAGACCCGGCGCTGTACTGATCGACTACGGAGACCTGTCGTAAGAATGCAGTTGGATCCAAAAATGAAGTCTTATGTCAACTTTTGCGGGGGAAGGTGTTAATGGGACGGAACCAGCCAATGAGAGCGTTTTACGCTGAGGGCTATTGATTTGGCCATAAATTGAATGTACCG